CGTATTATTTTCTATATGAAATTGTAGACTACCTACTTGTCACCATATATCAGGCCATTTATTTTTTTTCCTGTCCACTGAATACATCAAATAATCTTTGAGCTTTCTATATTCTCATAAGCTCATACATCGACTGAGGACTGCTTTGTAAGTATGTATTTTTAGGATTCTAAACTCTCTCTTCGTATTTCACCTAAGTACCCACGTAAGCCTTCTTACGAGCCGGGCACTATCCTCTGGTGACCCATGAATACCAAACTTTGATACATAATATATATATATATATAAATAATGATCTGTTAATGCGTTTATACTAGCAATTAATTATTGTAAATATATTTAATACTTCCATACCTCCATTTCGAATCGGAAAATATTCTTTCTGTCCAATATGATTCATCAGTTTAGAATATTTATTAAATTTTTAACACAAAAACACTGAGCCACAGAGCCGTCACTATTTAACTGCACAAGTACAATATTATCATAAATAACTTTATCGTTAGAGACGCTTGTTATTTCAGACTGTGAACTTACTCTTAGGTCCATTTCACTTAATTATTCATATTAATATATAGTGATATATGTAATAGAATATTCGATCCATATTTTACATGTCAACCGTATCACATGTAAATTCAAAGAACGTACCCCAGAAAAATTGTTAGTTTATTATAATATTGTCTTAGCTTTACTTTACATTTAAGCAAAACCAACGAATCTTACCCTGACCGAGGTTCTGAACAGCAATTTAACAAAGTATGTAAATAATGTATTAAATTCGCGTTTGTATAAAAAGATATTTGTTCTTTGTTTGTGTATGCTATTTTATACACGAGCTGTATGCATGACATTCATCTTAAAGGTTTTTATACTAGCACTTTCCACATTAGTCTCCTACCCGTTTTATAAAAAAAACACGCGACTGGCGGTGCGGCCTGTTTAACAATATTCAGCTAGTTCAGCTTGACATACCGTCAATTTTAGTTTAAATTTATTGAAGTTATACTTCTTTAGGCGCGTTTTGAAAAATTGATGAGAGTGAAATTTTACGACGCGCGCGCACCGTGACACAAAATTAACAGAAGGAAGTTGCCCACGGAAGATGCTACGCATGATGCATGATGCATTGGACATAATTTAAAAACAACATTCGAATAATAATAGAATTTATGTTACACTTAATGTAAGAGAATAATAATAAATATTTATTTATTTAATTTTTCAAATGTAAACTGAACTTTATGGACTATAATGACTCCTTTTCCAGTCTTTGATTATTTAATTGTAATTAATTATTGGCATGCAATCAAAAACTATTTTTAATAATGCCAAAGAAGTATAACTTCTTACGCGCGTACATAAGTACACGCACCCTTTTTGTTTATAATATTATGTAAAGGATTTTTAAAACATTTAAAGGAAAACATATGTTAGGATCACAACAATTGTTAAGACAAATGTTTCTGAGCCACAATGCTCTAATGTTACTTTAAAAAAAGTGCGTTGTTCACTTTAACGCAACGTAAAGATTTATGCAAAAACAGGCTTAAATTAGGGATAGCGCTGATATAAAGTAAAATAGTTTACATGAAACAAACCTTAATGAGACTAATACATGTTTGTCTGTCTGTTAATTATTCTAAATGTACTCATCTACCCGAAATAACTGTATCACCGGGAATCGTTCTGTATATGTCCAGAGCGCTGAGGTTAATTGAATGAACTGGGTAAAACACATCACTTTGATATCTTAAAATTCATATACATGCACTAAACATTTAACAATAATTTAAATAATAAGGATATTTCTATTAATTCCGTAAAAATATAAACAAATAATATTTATGAGATATTGTGAATTGTAAACAAAGGCGTAGGTAGTTCAATCAACTCCTTATCTAGAGACTATGTAGGTTTGGTATTTATATTTTATAACTATGACTAATTTACACGCAGCAATTGCTGCAATAAAACAATACTTATTTATAAACTTACAGACTAGTACTATCAAAACAGGAGTCTTATATCTTAATATATATAAATTACGTGTCACGTTGTTTGTCCGCTATGGACTCCTAAACTACCGAACCGATATCAATCAAATTTGCACACCGTGTGCAGTTTGATCTAACTTAAAAGATAGGATAGCTTACATCTCAATTTATACCCGAAATATTATTTTATTGCAAAATATTTGTTTATTATTTGACAGTCACAATTCTAACAGATGGCGCTGTGTTGACAGTACCAACGTTTCACATAACCTACAATTTAATGGCAAAACCACCAAAAAAGCATGGTGGTCCCCATGACTGGTGTTCTCCTACCATTTCCCTTGAATAGATTACTACTATGTAATATAACAAAAACCGCAGCAACGCTTGGCCGAGTCTGCTAGTAGCATAATATATCATAACTACGCAACGCTATAAAGACGCATATTAGTCATAAGATTTAGGTATATAATTTTTTATCAATTGTCTTTTAAATTATAGAATTATCGGTATTTGTATAAATGTGTTGTTCTATCGTTTTAGAAATAAATAAAAGTATAAGAACTATGTAGGACATTTTTAAAATTATGGTACTAGGTACTTTTATAGATTGACACGCATCAATAAACTTTATTGACATGTAATAATTTTATAATGAATTGGTATTCGCCATAAATCATAGCTGTGCAATATTGTATGCAAATGTGAACGTGCCTGGATTGATATCACCCAAAATTGGAAACAATATTTAATCAAGAGCTGTATGGCTACCGGTGATAATGGTCTTACGTTTTCCCTCGTAAATATAAGGCAAAACCTCGATCAAAGTTTAAAAGGGACAGGAGGATGTAGGTAAATCTCTCTTCGATCTTGGCTTGGGTTGAAAATAATAGATAACGTGAATTAAGTTGCGGTGGCGGTTGATGGAGGTATGCTCAAATAATTGAAACACTTAGTCAGAAGCTATGTCAATTGTCTTAAATAGTTCAGAACAAGAACTTACGGCTAATATAAAATTAGGGGTTGCGACTCTTAAAACTAAGTGACCCATCTGATCAAGATGTTGACATATTTTACATTCATGGGAACAAGAATTTATAGTAGTTTTAGTTATAATTTTTGGATGTACGAAAAACTAATGAAGTTATTGATTAGTACGGTAGGATTCGTAGAATTTATTGTATACAAGTGGGCGTTAAACTAATCTTTGATATTTGGTATGTAATTGTTTTTATTCTTAACATAAATATAAACGTATATGTAAACTAACTGACCTGGCAAACGTCGTTTTGCCATGTCTATTATTTCTAGGAAACATTTTTTTAGTTCAATAAAAATAACTATCTACTATAATAAAAATTAGGGATTGATCGTAGAGGGGTGAAAATTTAGGGTTGTATGTATTTTTTAGTGGCACATTATAAAAAATAAAAAAAATTAAAATTTCGTCCAAAACATAAAAATAAAATGTTAGGGGTGGACAATCCTTATCACATATATAACCCTAAGTATGAAAAATATATAGTAGCTGATTTTCAGACCTACTATACTAAAATTTGATAAAAATCGGTCAAGCCGTTTCGGAGGACATTGGTAACTAACATTGTGACACGAGAATTTTATATATAAGATTAACTAAGGTAGGGTTTTTTTTGTCTACTGCCTTTCCATAGTGTCCGGGGACTTTTGTCTAAGGTTAGGTTACAAAACTCATGTTATATAATAAATAACGAATAATTCGGCATGTTTAAATGACTTGCCGCCATAATGCCGTTTCAACGCTTGAACCTATTGAAAGTTTTTTTCAGTATAAACTATTTTATGTGACTCATATACTTTTGTTACAATAATTTATATTATCTTATTGAGTTAGTCAAATAGGTTCTTATTAAACAAAGTATATTGCGCTTTATTGTGTTTCATCCAATACAGAAATAAAACTATTTTACGATATTGCGTTTAGAAAATGGATGTTTGCCAACTTTCTTTATCTTATATGGGTTATATTTTGACCTTGTTAGGGCGTTGAGTAACATTCTTATGACTAGATATAGACTAGATCTTGTTGGCAACCTTAAAAACTGATAATTTTTAAGGTTGCCAATTAGATCTTAAGAAATAATATCATTCATAATATTTCACTGAATAAGCGGTTTCACTTGTATGGATTCACTAAAACAAAGTCCACATCATACTTTACCACTACCATCCCCAGTTGGGTGAATAGCATTTCATAATCATTAATTCATGAAAAATTTCATATGGTACCAGTAGGGTAGTATTATGGTCGAACCACATTTTAAAACATAATTTAATCGTAAATAATAATTTCCACTCTATAAAACATGTTTTCAGAAGCTCTTAAATGTAATAAACTAGTCGGTTTCTCCATTTAATCCAACACAATATGTGACGCTTTCATAGAGCAAAGACCTTCCTATGTTAAGTTGACACTTCGAATAGACGTGTTGACAGGATTACGCTGGGTAAATAGGCTGACCTAAAGATAAATTGATTTGACTATTGCGTGTGTACGTAGAAACGTGCGTAGTTATTGTTACTACAAGTTGTCAGTTTACTACAACAACTTATTATTACAGGTGGTTAGGCTAGCTGGTTATATTTCTAATTAAAAAAACAGACGTTTAAGATTGAAGGAATATCAATTAAAATGTTTAAAATTTATTATTATATATTTATCGAAGAAGCATCATAATATATAATAAGTATATAACACAAAATGATATAAGAATCAATAACAAAAAAAAAACTCCAATCGACTTTTGCAGACGATAGAGTTCAATAATAATGCCCTAATTCACTCAGACAATCAGTAATTTATCAGCATTTGTATAAATCCTATAAATTTAAATTAATGTATATTTAATACTTTGACAGCAGTTTATAAATATAGATAAATTTTCGAAGATTAATAAATAATTATCGTTTCCGATACTTTATAAAACGCCACCATTTCTTTTATTCGTTTATTAAGAGTGAAAAATGCGTGGAATTATTGGGTTATGTTTAGTTTTAGCTGTGGCCACAGGTATATTGATATCGGTAGCAGAGGATTTTATACGTAGTGCGGACTCATTGATCAAAATATAGTCGTCAGTGTGAACTAATTAATTTGTCATTTGGGTTAATATCAAACTAATTTAGGTTCAATTTGTAGCAAACCCCACAACGCAAAACGAGTCCAGATATAGCAGAATAATCGGCGGTGATGTGACGACGATTGATCGGTATCCATCCGCCGTAGCTCTGATGGGATATGACTGCTTCGCTAATGTTCACTATCAAATGTGTGGCGGCGCCATTATCAATAGTAGATCTGTTTTGACAGCGGCTCATTGCTTAACGTAAGTATAAGCGCAAGTTATAACAAATAAAATATTACAATTGTACCATGACACTTTCCACCTTAGTCGATTATTATGCCTAGTTTACCCAGCATGTATGATAGCCCCGGCGATATAATAATTATTATAGGTTGGTAGGTGAACTTATTAAAAAGTTATCATAATATAATATGTAATTTTTTTTGTAATATAGTACCTACTTCATAATTTATGTTTTTAGAGACATTGTGCCGTTATATTACCGGAAGATGCGCGTAGGGTCTGCTTTTAAAAACTCGGGTGGTGTCGTTCATGACGTTGCGAAAGTAATAATACATTTTGAATACATATCACGAACTGTAGTTAACGACATTGGTATCCTTCGTTCGAAAACGTCATTTGAATTCAATGAAAACGTAGCACCCGGTGCGGTTGCAGGAAGGAATTATTATTTAGGAGATAATCAACCTATATGGGCAATTGGATGGGGAATGATGAATTTGGTAAGATATAATAGGCATACCATTATTAAAATAACGATAAAAATCAAAATGTGCAAGTGCAATTAGCTCTTGTATCCATGAGTTTCATTCAGTATTAAAACTGAAGAAAGTATTGCGTCAAATATTTGTATAAGAAATCTTACAGCGGTCCAATGTTCTATCCTCATTAGCCATATGTTACTTCGTTCTTTAGCTAGTAGAGACTCGAGAGAGTATTTTATTATAACATAGTAGGCGTAATAATTTAAACTCATAGCAAGAATAATGTCGCAGCACATTAATTTACAAATATTACTTTATAACATCATTTTATATAAGTAATTTGTTATAGACTACCGGCGAAGGAGCTGAGCAGTTAAGAGAAGTCCAAGTATACTCAATCAACTGGAACATATGTGCGCAGCGCTATAATGAAAATGGCCAGAACTTAGGAGAAAACATGTTTTGTATGGGCCTTTTAGACGTGGGAGGAAAAAATACATGTTTCGGCGACTCGGGCAGCCCTGTTTATCACAATAATGTAATTGTTGGTGTATGTTCTTGGGGACCTTCACCTTGCGCAGACGCTCGATTCCCTGCGGTTAATACTCTCGTTTCAGCTTATGAAGATTGGTTAAGGGCTAATGCCTAGATACCTCGTAAATATAGTTAGTTAGAAACGAAAAACTTTGTTAATTTTTTAATGAAATGGAATTTCTCGGAATAAATTATTCAACCAAAAAGAGTATTTACATCTTTATGTGTTATTGTAAAGAAAAGTAAAAAGCAAGCTATAGATAGTATTGTATAAGCATAACGGAAAAGCTAGGAACTACTGAAGATATTACTTTATTTTGTTATTTAAAAATAAAAGTACACTTTTTTTCGATATGCATTCATATAATCCTTTACATTAATACAAAAGAAATAAAATGAGTCATATTTTATTATGATAATATTATTTATTTACCTCTTAATTTTTTAGCGTGGTGCATTTCGTATTTTATTTTACATTTAGACAAAGAGTTAGAAGTTTAGGTGTTGTATGACTTTTATTTCATTTATTTTAAACAATTAATTAGCCAATGCCATCAAACTCTAGTCCCAGTAGGTTTACAATAGACCAATATCCGATCACCAGTATATCTATTTCATTGCCTATCCTCCTCAAACAATCGGATTTGATGTAACAATCAAAGCATTTGGATTTCTACAAAAGCTTGATTAAATTCAGCTTTATCGTATCGATAAACTGACTTAATTATAATGAATACCTATTATTTTGTATCTATACATAAAAAATATTGTTTTGACTGATCAACGGAGACTTAGGTCGCATAGGTTTGAAATCCTGTAACTGCGTAATAGGGCATAGGACGGACGCGCTATCTAAATCCATTATTGTTTCGCCTGGAAGGTGATATCCACTACAGGGATAAAAGCTTGATATTTTAGCTCGGGGGTTTGGGAAATACCACCCTCTCTTTGTAACTTACGAGATTAATGGTTGTTTGGAAAGTCCAAGTTAAACTTATAACATTACTGACGAGCAAAGCCGCAATCAATTATTAATAAAACATAATAATATAACCTACGGCTCGTTTATCTGCTACTTTTAATGGTCCAAAGAATAGGCTAACTCGCTCTTACAACTTAATTACTAAAATAATATTGATATATTTCACAACAATCTTACAACTAACCGTAACTTTGTTTATCATGCTCTTAATAATGTTTAAGTTTCTAGTTCTCTTTAGTTATTGTTATTATTTTTTCATTTGTGGTTGCTTGTTTAATTTTTTCCCTTACTCGCTTGCTTATATTTAAATATAATTGATGTTTGAAACATTTGTGATGTCATATTTTCTTGTTTAATTTTATGCATACACGTTGTTTTAGAACTTACAAATAAATAAATAATTGAACATCCGGGCATTCGTTAATAGCAAATTATCATATACATAAAAATAAATGAATTAAAGTTTCTGTTATCTCGCCTTAATTCGACTTTAAGAGATTATTATATCTTGAAGGCTTATCCGTTGTATATGATATAAGCGGTAGTATATACTTTTTTAAGTAGTGCGAAGTAAATATGCGAATCTTTAGCGTCTTTTTGAGTATCTGTGTTGCAAGTTCGTTGGCTTCTAGCTGTGGCTTACGTTTGCCGTCAGGTAAAATTGATGCATATTAAAAAATAAACTGTTTAAAATATAAACGTGTATATATAATGCACTTATTATTATATATACTTTTATGAATCGTATCTTAGTCCTACATTAAATCCAGGAAAAAGTTCTCTTGGGTTGGACACCGCAACGGGCTGATCTGATAATTTTGAACTGTTAATATGTTTGCATTTAAAACTCTATTTATTATTAATTAAGTATACGATTTGTTTAGAGTAAAAACGTTTTTAGAATTGTTAGAATTTTATCTGTATCTACCAAAATTAATAAATATTAAGAGGTAAACTGCACTTTCAAATGTTTTTAATTACAAACGCCGACTAAGGGATCAGAATATACATCAGCTGTAATGTTGAAAGACCACAGCTATGTGCTAACCTGGCATAGTTGAAAAAATCTCACTTTTTTCAGGAAAGTCAGAACGAAAGCCTAGAATAGTAGGCGGTACCGAGACTACTATAGATAAACATCCATCTGCTGCCGTACTTCTCGATTACAACCAGAATTTAAACCATCACTGGCACAAATGCAGTGCAGTCATTGTTAACGTAAGATCTGTTGTCACGGCTGCAGCCTGTGTAAGGTATTTCAATACGACGTAAACTATATTTATTTACATTCTTTACGAAACTCTTTTAAAAAGATGTCGGACTATCTATGAATTTTTAGGAAAATCATAATATAGGAATATATTTTGATATATCAAAACACATGAAATCACTATGTAACTGATATATGTGGATATTAACCGTTAGTGACAGTTAACCTTGTGATTAAACCTGTTGTTTCATAGCAAATACAAGGAAGAAGAATGATTCATGAGTTATTACGTGTTTCGAAATTCAAATTGTTTTCAGAGAATTTATTCCAGTAACAACATGGCGAGTTCGTGTAGGCTCCAGCTTCTTATCCAGTGGTGGTATCATACATACCGCCAGCAGATTATTTCTACACCCAGACTATAATATGTGTACTAGAGACAATGACATAGCTATTATTCGATTAGCCACTGCTATTGAGTACAATGAGAATGTCCAGCGCGCATACATTGCTGGAAAGAACTATATCGTGTATGAGAATCAGGCCGTTGTTGCTGTAGGCTGGGGAATATACGACCAAGTGGTAAGCCAAAATACTAAAGAAATGGAAGTCTCTAGTTAAATTGTTTTACGTAATTCGGGCTCAAGGGTCCTTAATTGGGTATAAATGATTCTTACTATTTTGAGGGAAAGCGTACAAGCAGGCGTGATCCGAAATGATAATGTAACATATAAATATATATATATATCTTTATCTGCTCGTGTCGCCACATAGTAAATGCCTCTAATAAAAGAAGAACAATGTTATCAATTAAACATTTGACTTTGAAAAAAACAATAAAATATTTTTTATTTTTCAGACCTATCCAGGACGTGGCTCCGAACAGTTGCGTGAGGTTGTGGTTCGCACCACTAATTGGGAAAAATGTGGCGAAGTCTACAAACGGAGGACTGGTTTAAACGTAAGCCAGAGTATGCTCTGCACAAACACTGAGATCGGTCGCAGACAGTGTCAAGGTGACACTGGCGGTCCAATCTATCATAATGGTGTCTTCGTAGGCGTTCATGTATGGGATGACGTAGAACGTGACTGCAGTAATCCTGATGTACCCGCAATTAATATGAAAGTTTCCAACTACGTCGACTGGATAAGCCAAAATGTTTAAAATAAATATAATTTGTGTTTACTATTCATATTTATTACTGTGTTTTTAATCGACATTTTGTGATAGATTCTGAGTATAAGAACACTAATCGTAGCATGTATGTATAAAAAAGATGATTTGAAGTTACTTACATAAATAATGAACTAAAATAAAAATAATGTAAAAATGTATGCTCATTGCTTGATCGGGGAATGGGGGTGTGTGGTACAGTGTAAATAGTGTTTTTATCACTGACCTACCCAACTTATAATCTTTAATTACAGTAAATTAATAGACACCATTTCTGTGTCTATTTTATAAATTTAAACATAACATTTGTAAAGATAGACTGTGGTTAAAATTTGTTTGTCTGTTTTGTATGTAGGTAGGTTTCAACCTACTAAAGGTATTCTTTTGAGGGTTTATAAATATATCTCAAGGAACCTTTAGACAAACTTTTAATTGAAATTTGATGTCAGGGTAAAAGTTATTAGTTATTTCTATTTTACTTAACGAACGCCTGTTAAAAATTACATAGCAATATCACTATTCCACAGCTTACAGGCTATAAAAATGATATATCTTATCTATACAGCAAAAATATTTTAATTGCCTTACATTCACTGACTGGATTACTTGATTTAATTAATCAACCTTCTGTGCCTGCCATATATGTCGATCGAAGTCGAGTCAAATCGATTCATTTGTTTAAATAATGTTGTCTAGTCGCGATGATTTGTAAAGCCGGTAGATATGAGAATCTTGACCAACAGTCGTATCGTATCATTTAGTCTCTGTATTGGCGCTCTTTTTCCTGTCGTTTTTAGGCGTTCTTGTAAAAACCCGCCCATCTTTTTTCTCTGCTTCTTCATGTCGTTTCCTTTTCTTCTTTTTTTTTTTCCCTCCCTTCTTCTTCTCTTTCTTCTTGTGCCCTTCTTTTCCCTTTCCCCCCCCCCCCCCTTTCCTTTTTTTTTCCTTTCCCCTTCCCTTTCCTCCCTTTTTCCCTTTTTTCCTTTTTCCTTGTTTTTGGGTTTTTTTTTTTTTTTTTTTTTTTTTTTTTTTTCGGGGGGGGGGCGGGCGGGGTTTTTTTTGGGGCGTGGGTTCTTTTCTTTTTTTTTTTTTTTTTGGGGGTTTGTGTTTTTTTTTTTTTGGGTAACATTGCTCAACAATCGAGATTCATCTGTTCCTAAACAAACTATATGCACTTTATTTTGTTTTTACTTTATTTTAACGAGGTTTTGTTTAATTGTTAGACATTGCCCCCTTCAGATTTCGACTTCAGAACTAAATGTGATGCCATAGATTTCTTTATGCACAATCAATAATTATTGTTCGTGCGGTAAAGGTGTTAGACGAGTTCGATGTTTATACGTCGTAAGGAAATTATAGAGTAAGATCCCAGAGCGATAAGACACAACTTATTTTCTAAAGCATAGAACCTTCGGTTCTAAGTAGTCTCTGGTGTGCTTTTTAATACCTGTACGCTTGTGGAGTTGGCTCGGTGACACCTGCGTCTTTCTAAAAGAATATTTTTTATTTTATTTTAAAAAAGATATCAATTGTAATAATTTTAGTATAAAAAATAATTAATTATGATGAATTAATGAAATACTTTGATTGTCTCTTAATCATCTTCATCATTGTCCTAAACGCATGTATACTGCTCTCGCGCTCATACTCATAGTTGAGTAATTTTTGTGTTTAGGGGATGTTTGGTCATTACAATTTGTCTGACTGATTAAATATAGCTTTGTAATATTTATTTGAATAACATATATAAAAATCAGACATTTAAAATAAATTAAGTTCATTTATTTTTTGTAGAGCTTTAAAGCGTCTGTAGTCCAGTCAAAATAGGCATTTGACTTAGCCAAAATTCGCATAGAGCTGAAAATTGGCAGAGACGTTAAATACATCATTATAAATGAAATGTCAAAAATCCCCTTCGATCCTACTTCTGCAAAAAAATTTATTCAAGGTCAAAAGTATAAAATTAAGTTTTTTCCATTTTTCTCGAAAACAGTTAGTATTATCGTGAAAATAGATCAGACAAAAGTTGTAGATCATACAATTCTCTACAAAAATGGTTCAGTCACTTTTTCTCTTACGACTCACCATTCATGAGATATCGCGGTTTTAATCATTAGAAAATTCATATTTTACATAATATGCACACATTTCCGCACCACCTATGAGGTAATGTACTTGGCGAATTTTTTTTAACGTGGTTTCCCCAGTAGGTATACTCCACGATCTATTGTAATAAAGAAAGTTTGATCAGATCGTATCCTATTAATTGAAAGAATAGTAATATTGCTAATGATTAAAGTGGAATAGGTTGTTTTTTTCTACATGTCATTATATAAGATAATTGTCTTATTCTACTTCAACAATTATTTCTTCGTCTTCATTCTCTTCTTCTTGCAGAATTTCTGTTTGCTGTTCTAAGAAAAGGGATGCATCAATTGTCTCTTCATTAATATCATAAATATCTTCATCTGTTGTATTTGTTTCAATATTGGAGCAAGTCTGACCCTGACAATTGATGCATACTGGCGAACAAAATAATCCTACTTTTTGACAGCCACAATTCTTACTACAATCCGTCTTGCATTTACAAAAAATAGTATTAAGTAGTTTTTCTGGAGCAGGCGGGAGTAAAGTTTGAATTGGCTCCAAATAATTATCTGAACTGATTATCAATAAAACAGATAATTGTTAAGCTTCCTTTCTTCTCAGTTATAATAATTTTATCACCATACTTTAACTTTAATCTTCTTTTAATTGTTTTATTATCTATAGTTGGATTTTTGCCGATATCTTTCAATTCTTGTAATGAAAATTGGCAATCATCATTATTTTCAATGTACTGAAATATTTCCTCCATCGCCAAGTTTACTGAATCATCTTCGGGACGACCGACTTTATATCCCGTGGTAGGTCTCAGAAAGATATTATAACAGTTATTGTGGTACTTAGCTTCAGCAGCAACTAAGTCAAATTCATACCCAATGCGGGCAATAACAGCTTTTGCTACGTCATCAGAACGAGTCCGAGCTACCTTTAAAATGGAATCTTTAAATTCAAGTGTTGATACGTTATAAATTTTACGACGAACATTCTGCGCTTTCTTCTTTTCAGCTTCTTCATTTGCTTCATCGCCGCAAAATAAACAACATTTTTTAAAGTTGAAATCTGGCTCACTTACTCGTGCTCTAGTATGAGGTGGACTTATCGTGGATGTACTACCTTCTTCTGTCTCGCGCTGTCTTTTAGCTGCAACAATACTACTCTTTCGAGTATACATTTTACGACACTGCACGTGGACTGTCACAGATTGCTTGTCTTTTAAGTATTCAAAAAAATTATCATTTCTTTCAACACTTGCATCTATCAAAGTCTTCATTCCACGATCAACAACAACGACTTCACTTTCTTTCAAAGGTTTATCACAAATAAAACAAACTTCTGACATTTTGTTTAAATTATTTACCAGCACAAATTAAAATTGAAAATATTACCAATAAGCACGTCTGCTCACTGCACAGGAATTTTCAAAACTAACAGTATATACTGAGTCATTTCATTTACTTCCTTCAAAAATAGGCAGGTATGCGACCCTCCACACTCAAACAATGACGTAGCTAGCAGATGTTACTCAAGGTTACCGACGAAGGGAATTAGGGACTGACAGTATAGTCTTATATTTTAAAATCCTCATTTAATTTATACAAGTTTTATTGTGTAAGTAACACAAACGAATAGTTTCTTATTTTCATTTATATTGAACGTCCGGTGACGTATACAGACTGCATTTTAGTGCATATTATGTAAAATATGAATTTTCTAATGATTAAAACCGCGATATCTCATGAATGGTGAGTCGTAAGAGAAAAAGTGACTGAACCATTTTTGTAGAGAATTGTATGATCTACAACTTTTGTCTGATCTATTTTCACGATAATACTAACTGTTTTCGAGAAAAATGGAAAAAACCTTAATTTTATACTTTTAACCTTGAATAAATTTTTTTGCAGAAGTAGGATTGAAGGGGATTTTTGACATTTCATTTATAATGATGTATTTAACGTATCTGCCAATTTTCAGCTCTATGCGAATTTTGGCTAAGTTATGACTTATTTTTGTCTATTTTGACTGGATTACTGACAAAAGTTCTGGCCCATGGAAAGCGTCTGACTTTTTTGATATAACTTCAGAGTAATATTCTACAAAATATATATAAAAATCAGTCATTAAAATTTAACTTAAGTAACTCTGATTTTTAGTTACCTTTCTCACCTGGTACCTGCGCAGGTGTCACCGAGCCAACTCCATAAGCGTACAGGTATTAAAAAGCACACCAGAGACTACTTAGAACCGAAGGTTCTATGCTTTAGAAAATAAGTTGTGTCTTATCGCTCTGGGATCTTGGACTATTAGAACTGTAGATTTCTATAGAAAGCACATTTGACAGCACTTCTTCCTTTACATAAATACGTACGTGTACAGCGTAAGATTTACGGCAGGTATTTTTAATATTTATTAGAAGGTTTGTAGATAAAAAACGAGTCAATCGCTAATATAATATAAAGTTTGAATGTTAAAATCACCACACTAACATAAGTATCATTAAATTATCTTACTAATCGTGCTTATAAAAATTGTTAAGGAATGTATTTACTGTTTTCTTATAACAAAACACTTTGTCGTCAAGTAATTTTTGTTAGTGCTCTATTAAGCACAATATATAACTGGTAATTTAAATATTGAAATAAATATGTTGTCTAACATAGACAATGTAAATTTATTGTAGAATCTAATTTTTATTAAAATCTACTATTAACAAATAAAATAAAATCTTACAACTAAGAGTCCCGGTTTATCCATTAACACCTCAGCGTTCGGCATTAACATTGAGATCAGATACTTGTAATAATTGTATGATAAAAACCTCTAGAAGTTGGGATCTGGGAAGGAATGATTTAGACAGAAAACCCATAATTTTCAAGTAAGACTCGCGCTCGCGGATAGCGAACCTCATTTAATAGCGTGTTATTTGTATAAACATACTACCAGATAATTATTTACATTAATATATAAAGTAAATAATAAAGGTAAAGGTGCATACTACATATTTCCGAACGATTATTATTATGTTATAATATGACTTGTAATAATGCATGTAAGATTTGTAATTTTGGCATGTGCAGGGTCTGAAAATTCAAAAAAATCGTGTCATCCAGCGGAATCCACTGCCACTGACTTTTTGCGGTGACTGAATGAACTGATGCCAATTTGTTGGGGCATATAACATCGGCAAGGCTGAAATTTGGCATGGTATCTTTTACTTTGTCTAGCAGCACATCGGCGTACCGGAAACTGGTCTCCCAATCTCAGTCTACAACTTTCATACCACGAAAACGTCGACAGCCCGCCTAAACGGTGGTAGAGTGTGGCGGGTGGCAGTTGTGTGACGTTCCATTTTTAATATTTTCTAATTTTGGCCAAAACATCAACTGAATTGTTTGGAGTATATATCTGTGGCCATAGGCCAGAATATGATAAATGCAATTTCATTACAATTTCATAAATTATCATTGTCTGATCTGTGAGTACAGATATATAATTATATATGGATAAGATCTATTCCCCTAACTCACGTGAAACGTCGTCCTAAACTCTAAACACCGTCATCTCGGGGCCGTCATGATGGTGGTATATCACTTTGTTACTAACGGTAATTAACAACACATATAATATATATATAGGTAAAAGTACTAAAACAAATGTTTTATTATTTTCTGATTTAACCGAAACTGTAATATTAAGTAAATTCAAATAATGGTTAAAAATTGGGTTAATCAATATTGTTGACCAGTCTGTTCCGTCATGTTACCTGTTTATATATATATAATATATTTTTAAGAACTCCTTATCAAATTTAACAAGAAATCTATAGGACATAGATTAGGCCAAATATAGATACAACTATCAATGAAAACAATATGTTGTTGCAATTGTATAAAATACGTTAAAATGTATGATTCAATTCAAATCATTTATTCATATACGTAACAAAATGTACACTTATGAACGCCAAAAAATAAATATATATGAAATGCTTCTAATTTTACATTTACTGCCAGTTCTCAAATCAAGGGCGTAGATTGGAAGAGAAGAACTAGCAATAAACTCTCCGCCACTCTTTTTAATCGCCAAGTTTTTTGCTTTACACAATGTTTGTAGGAAGCTGCAACCATAACATGCATGTTCCACATGACATCTTAAGTTGCTATGGTTTTGTTTTTTGTCATAAAACAAATCCTTCGGCTTTGCATCTGATAAGCTGTTATTTCTTGTAAGACATGATAATACGCATATGTGAAACAAAGAACTTTACATTGTATATTGTAAATATTCTACATTACTAAAGGTGAATATTACCAAAAGATATTTATTTCATTACATTTTTTTATAATTACCATCTCACAATGGTGAGATATTTTACACATATTATAAACATAAGGAAATAGAGGAGATATCGCTAGCACTATACCAGAAGAAGACCCAAACAATAGCTGAGAGAAATCTGCTTTAGTGCCACCGTAAAATTAATATAAGTAATATATTTGTGTGCAATTATTCTAATCATTATTATTGTAGTGTAGTGAAATCACAATGAAATTAAATGTCTTATGAAATCTTGATTTTTCTTTCTTTGTAAAACAACAATAATGAAACATTCTAGAATAAGTGTAAAGAAATGCGCAACGAATACTCAACAAGTGTTTTCCAATTTATAAATAAATAGCAGTTGGCTAGTCAAGTCAGATTTCGACATTTTTTGTTGTGATATTTATTAATTAATACTTTTGATAAGATTTGTATTTCCAGTAATCAGGCAGCTTATCAAATGTTGACTCTTTAATAGTTCTGTTCGATCTAATATATAAAGAGAAATATTATATTTGATGCCATAAGTATTTTTGGTAATTTACAAATATGCGTGTTTTAAGTATTGCCTTGACTCTCTGTTTGGCTGCTGTGTCAGGTTTGAATTTATTATTTTCTTAGTGGTAATCAAATGTAATTCTAAGTTTCATAATTTAGTTTTGATCTGAAAATTACGTTGAGTTTCTTATGCGGTAACATCTAGTATCTCATCATCATCATATACCATAATAATCACAAACATTATCTAGAAAAAATATTTATTCTTTTTGGATGTTCAGCCTCGCCTCAAGGGAGAATCGCCGGAGGAGCAGTTACTACAATCAACGAATACCCATACGTTGCTTCAGCATTATACTCAAGAAACAACGTAGCCTGGATTCAGTCCTGTACTGGAGCAATCATAAATAATAGAGCTATCCTCTCCAGTGCTTCTTGCTACGTGTAAGTTTGTAACAGTTAATTAGATCTCTATATATTTATCTCTTTAAAAAAATACAATCTTGTCCTTACAGATTAGATCAGAGATGCGCTCAAAAGTTTTGATTTAATTAATTAATTACACCTAAGAGGTTTTATCTCTTAAATCTATTCCATTGTTTTTCTATTCCGTATCTGTAATTTGCCGTAATGATTTCAGAGGTGATCCAGTGAGCCGTTGGAGGATTCGTGTGGGGTCTTCCAATGCTAACAGTGGTGGTATTGTACACAACGTCTTTTCGATCGTACTCAATGCTGGCTATAATGCAGTAACAAGAGACAACGATATCGCTATCGTCCGATCCAGTACTGTGTTCACCTTTACGACCTCTGTTAGGCCTGCCTCGATCGCTGGTGCTAACTATATTGTACCTGACTACTCTCCTGTATGGGCTCTTGGTTGGGGACGTATTGGGGTACGTGAATAAATTTAAACTATTTTAAATTCTTCGTGATTTAGAAACTATATATTATATTAAACTCAATCACTAGTTGTATATTTGTAAGTTTAAGTATACAACCTATAATAATAAAGTTATTATAATAATAAATTTATTATAGATTGGGTTACTGAACCTAGCTTAAAGAAAATCAGGGATACGTTAGTAACAAACGCACATTAGTATTTACTGCCATTAAATAATTACATCCTTTCGATTAACAGCAAAATGCCGGACCTTCTGAGCAGCTTCGTCGCGTTCAAGTCTGGACAGTAAATGACATCACATGCAGAAACGCATACCGACCTTTGGGCTTTACAGTGACCAACAACATGATCTGCAGTGGTTGGTTAAACACCGGTGGCCGAGGACAATGCGAGGGAGACAATGGTGGCCCTTTGATTTATAACAATCTCCTGGTCGGAATCTACACATGGGGACAAGAATGCGGAAGCAGTAGATACCCTGATGTCAACACTAAAGTATCACGTTATACCCAATGGATTACAAACAATGCTTAATTATATGAGAATTAAGACTGCCGATCTTATATAAATACTTTTATTGAATTAAATATGTATGATAAATTGTATATTGTATTTTTAATTGTCACACAAAATCACTGTTTTTTATAAGTATTAATATTAAGAATATGAAAGTAAAGCCTACAAAACTAAAGTGCGCGCAGTGGGTATTATGGTTTCCTACTTGAATTCTACAATTTCTACAAACTATTCGGTATCACTTTATCCTACAACATCAGTACTTTCAACTAATATTTCTTAGTAACCACTTTCAATAAGTAGCGTATTGTTAAAATGATTCATAACTCCTCAAGGATTGCATATTTCATTGATTGTTATCTATTATCACAGTAAATAAAACACTTTATATAAAATACACTGAACATTAATCAAGGTAGTGGACAATCAAGAACCATGCAGCCAATACAAATTTTAGTTCTTTGTCTTACTATTGCATCGGGTAAGTTTGTTGCCTTATGTTTTTGTGCAAAATTGAGCCTCAAATCAATCTACACTACATATTTTTGATAATTTGTTTGCATTGAATAGACAAAACTACTGGATACATTGGAAAATTTTGTTCACGATTTGGATTCCTAATTATTATTGACAAACATAGGCTTTGGAATATTTTGAAAAACGTTAGGGTATGAAAACTATGATAATGTAACCAGAGGTATAAAAAAATACAAAAAAATTATATCGCGTACAGTTTTATATAAAATATCAATATTCAATACCTACAAAAAAGTCCGCGATTAATATCCAGCTGTGCAAAGCCGGGACTATTAGAATATAATTTGTTATTTCATTAGTTAATTAATAATGAGAATTTTTTGTATTATAAGAGTTTATTTGGCTCCTTAATTCTCTCGTAAATTATGTTATATAGATTGAATGCAATACAACCTTCAATGTTTCAGCGGCTTCTGCGCCACAACAAAGGATTGCCGGAGGATCAGTGGCAGTTATAACTTCATATCCGTTCGCTACCGCATTATTGAGGTCCAAGGACTATGTAACTTATTCCCAACTTTGCGCTGGCTCTATTCTCAACACAAAATCAGTTCTAACTGCGGCAAGCTGCTTCTAGTAAGTTATTAATAACTTACTTTGACTGCTTCGACGACTTATTCCAACAATTAATAGCTTTATTTAGTTTTCATTCCATTATTTTAAGTTTTTTAGAAGATTAAATAAATGGCAAATAGGAATAATTAAATTAACAGAAAAACAGGTTTCTTAAAGAGCAATTCAAAATCTGGGGCGCCGCTCTGGGCGTCCACCATAGGAAGGTTCAGCATTCGGTGGTGGACGTACAGACTATCCTTCGTATTCTTGGACCCATCTCTGCGCTCAAAAAGTCTTTTATGAAAAGAGTGTACCAATTCTTAAAGGCCGGCAACGTACTCGCGAGCCCTCTGGCATTGAGTGTACTAACCTGTCCTGTCGAAATTAAAAGAACGTGTGTGTACTTATGTACACGCGTTATAAGTTATACTTCTTTGGTGACACTAACAATAGAAAAAACTAACATGTTGACTATAGCTAACTTCAGGGTGTCGGTTTTTTGCGACGGTGTGCGCGTGCATCGTAAATATAATCTCATAATTTTTCCCTAATGCGCCACAAGAAGTATGACTTCAAAAATATCACCTTAAATCGAATCTCCCTTGGGATTTTGTGTACGTCTACAAAGAAATAAATATACTCTAATATAAAGCCACACATATTTTAGAAAACCTTAGTCAAAAAACATCTTCACACATTCCGATATTAGATAGGTATAATATTTTATTTCAGTGGTGATAGTACAAGTTTATGGCGCATGAGAGTTGGGTCAAGCTGGGCGAATAGCGGTGGTTCTGTCCATGTTATAAATCGAGTAATCCTTAATCCGTACTACAATCCACGGATTCAAGACGGCGACATTGCTATCATACAGAGCTCATCCAATTTCATTTATAGTAATTCTGTCAGGCCTGCCTCTATAGCGGGTGTTAATTATGTGCTCACCGACAATCAAGCAGTTTGGGCTATTGGATGGGGTTCTACTTACGTAAGTAACATAAACGTCTATTATTAGACCATTTTGAATACAAAACATAAACTAACGCCCATATAGCTAAAGATGTATTACAATTATAATATGTATAACACGAACATCTAAGGTCTGAGCATGAATATAATAAAATACTCAGTTTACAATTAGCTAAATTAGAATACACTTTCTTCAGGGTTTATCAACCCAATACTATGACTGTAAATTTTGTAATCTTTGTTTCAAAACAGTCCATGGTGACTTATGAAAGTTCAATGCGTTCCAGTTCCGTATTTGTTTCTATTTAAAATATCTTAAAGTTATCGTCAAGAAAGTCTTAAAGTAACGCAAAGAATATTTACGTAAATGAAAAGCAGTAAACTTATTGTTTATGTGGAAATAAAGACTCTTAATGTACAAAGATTTTTCTAGATATGTTTCTCTTCAAAAATTCAGTAGTAACCATTGATAAACAAAATAAGAATATTTGTTAAACGCTAAATAATTTCCTCGAAAATATAGATGTTTTTTTTTTCAGAATGGCGGTCCTCCTTCGGAACAATTACGGCACGTACAAATTTGGACAGTCAATCAGGCAGTGTGTAAGAATAGATACAGATCTTTGAGTCGCACTGTGACGGACAACATGCTTTGTTCCGGCTGGCTGGATGTGGGAAGTCGAGATCAGTGTCAGTATGATGCTGGTGGTCCCCTAATTCACAACAATGCTGTAGTGGGCATCTGTTCTTGGGGTTACCAGTGTGGTACCCCAACATACCCCGGTGTCAATACTCGTGTCTCCCGTTACACCCCTTGGATACAAGCCAATGCCTAACTGAATAAACTTCTGAATAAATTGAATCGGAAATAAATGTGAATGCAGTTTCGTCGACTTGTGGTTAATATTTGGCACTGTTTCGTGTTTAGTAATATTAAATGTTTAATCTAAAGTCAAGAAGTGTTATCAATTTATTGAACGGCTTTTCCACCTATTAATATTTTATTGGTAATTCAACATCTTTGATAAAACTTGTAATGTATAAACTTTTTCAGCGTAAGTCGTGTAAAATGTTAAGCAAGAAACTTGGAGGTCTGCCATAGTTTTGTTTTTATTTTAAAATTTAACAAAGATCGTAAAATAACAGTTCGTGTTACATAACTTGTATACATTCGATGGTCCCACAGAATCAGCAATGAATGGCATTCTTTATATGAAATCTATTAATAGGTATGAGATATCGTTTAGTAAGTGGCAATCTTTAGCAATTAACCCGAGCTCGACCGCTATATTGGAATACTCTGTATGCGGGATCTAGTCATTATATCCTACGACATGGCAGTTTCCGCTACACTGTCTCTGAATAGTCTGCTACGAGTGCTACGGGATTTGCATCTACTTAGTATTATGGACTATAATGCATTATGTACTGAAGCGTAACAAAAAGCCATTTTGTATATTACGTTTAGATCTAGATATATTTCTGTAAACTAATAAGGGGCTTGACCGAGAATTGAAAAAATAAAGCATAAAATGATTTAAATTAAACACTGTTTACACACAAGTTTATTGTGTGTTTATTATTATTTCAATATTGGTGACCTTAAACACAATTCTATGACGGTCCAGTGGCTGTCCCATTTCATGAATTACTGTTAGAAATAAACAACTTTGAACACTTATATGTTTATAAAGAACTCTAACAGGACAGAGTTTTTGTTAGCCATTTTGAGTTAACGCCCTTATAATATGCTATAGTAGCTCATACAATAGGTGAGTATAAGTTCCTCTTATCCTCATACTCGATTATCGCTTATTATAAAGCAGTTAAATTATGATTATATTTCAATTCTCAGAACTTAAAACCTTTAAATTTTATGTCAAAAGTTAACAACGTGTGTCAGATACAGGAGAGGATTACTGACTTTACGGCTATGATTATGATAATGGAAACATACGGAAATCTTTTGCAATGAAAAATGATTGAATACTTTGTAAGCGTAAAATTAAAGTTGGAAGTCAAAAATGAAAAGTGTGGGTTAGATGAATACACAACAATGAATGGCGGCCGTGACCGCAGTAGCGCGCTATTCGCAGCACAATGGAACTCAAAATACGTCTATCAAATAAATTAAACTGTGGTTTTAATAAGTGTGACTATACACATATAAGACATAGTACCTAACATAGAGTAGCGGTGGCCAGGTGGCTTCAGCGTGTGACTCTTAACCTTGAGGTCGTGGTCGAAACAAACATTTGTGACGAGTGTCAACATACAAATAAATATATATGATAAACAATAAATAATTTTAAAACAAAGAATAAAAAAACAGACGCAATCTGAGGCCAAGATTAGGCCAGACCATAATAAATTTGTAGCGCCAGTTGATTATTATATAAGAAAAAAATCCCATTGAGATAATTTTAATCTAGAGACTTTTTTAGAGACTATACAGTACATATAGTCTTTATAAAACGCAAGTAACCCTCGCAAGGTAACTATGACATTTTTTTGCGAAAAAGCACTACCGACTTTAATAGAATTACGGTCGGGATGTCGAACTAACAGGATGGAGTTTACAAACAATCGATACTTCGTATGACGATGTTTTAATTTTTATGTACTCGCACGCTTCACTTCACTAACCTAATTTATCTTGAAAATGTCATGTTAAAACATTTTTTAAATAATAATATGTGTTGGGTTTTGCAACGTCGAGGTCCTGCGTTTGAACCTCGGTTGTGCGTTATTAAATTTTTATATTTGTGTGCTCATACAACATTTAATTACAATATATTAACTAGTTCATTTGTGGTTTTTTGAATACCAATGCCAGGTGTTCAGGAATCCGCGAAAGAGAGAACTAGTGGGTTGAATACAATATATTATATTAAAACTAGTTATAAAAATGTTAACTTTCATTTACATTGTCTTATTATAAAACAAAGTCCGGTTTGTTCGAACTCTTATAACTCGAGAACGGCTGGTCAGTTTGATTTGTTGTATTTATCTCCGACTCGAATAACAGAATATCTATAAAAACATTGGAACGTTGACGAAAAAAGAATCCAATACAAAATGTTCATGGGTTTCGTAACTGTCAAAGATTTAGTGGTCATACCGTCGATACGGTAAACTCTCCTCTCAAATTAAACTCCGAATTTTAAATAGTATTTTCGAATATATTGGTTGTCAAATGTTTATGCGTGCGTTCAGAAATTTATTTTGTGTAAACTAAGGAAACCACAACAAATCAAGGCACATTGTTACTTTGGTTGCAATTCGGTTATAGTAACTTAATATTTATTATGTATTCATTATATTACTTTAGTATTACTTTAGTATTTATATTAAGTCTAGATCCGACTCATGCCGACAACGTACGAATTCACCCGAATACCTGCATCGATTTTTACTTGAACTTGCTCTGGTTCATACATGGAGTTTTATTACATTTATAAGGGGCGGTCACGGTTGCTTCGAAGGTATTTTCGCGGTTCTATTATCGAATTACTTAATAGCCACTAAAGAACGGCTATAGTTATAGTTTTTACTGCAAAAAGCTTTTACTGTGATTGTAAGTTACTTTAGTATGTCAAGTACTTAAATAATAAGACCTGAAAGAAAACACGCATTCAATAAAAACTATTTCGATCGCGCGATTTTGCATAGTCACCTAATCGTACGTATATTTTCGCCTTCGTCTCTTTCTGCCAAATTGTGTCCACGCTATAATAAAAAGAGATAGATCAGTATCATAGTTAAAACGGTACACTTAGGCCAATTATTTTTAAATTATTCATATAAATATATATATTGTCAGCGCTCTAAAATTGGTTGGTATATTTCGCCTGACCTTGATTTTTTTACTGTTTACCATGTACTTCTAAATATTTTTATAAAATGCATTGAAATAAAACATTTCTCATATACAAAATGCGCTAGATTAGTCGAAAATTTTCAATTATTAAGTCTCATATATTAAATATAAACCGCTACATTACCAGACTATGACAATGAAAATGTTTGTAAACCTTGAAAGGGCCCTTCGCAATGAATATATTATCAAGAACACAACGTAAAGCTATAATTACATCGCCCTTGAAAATAGACTGACATTGTATGAATATGTGATATCGATTGCTGTACTTTTATTCAATACGTGGTTTTCCCTAGTCTATTTATATAGATATTTATACAGCAAATATAAACTGATATTATATAATCCACATCATGCTTACTCATTTACATTTGATACGATATATAATACAAGATACACTATAATGTCGGTTTTGTTAATTCGAGAGAACATACACAATTCGAGACCATTAAGGACCAGTTGCACCTAATGTATCTTAACTGCATGCGCAAGAGTATGCAACTGGTATTGTATTGATAAATGCTTTTATTTCTTGAAAGCTTTAACAGTATTCCTTGCAATTTTTCCACAATGGCATCTTTAAGTTTTAATCATCCTTAACACTTTTATCTGAACAAGAACAATATTACTAAGTATAAAAGAGCGATAAATAAAATTTCTCTCATAGCCGAAAAACTTGCGTCAGCTTGTAAGTAGGTAATTCAAGGCGTATACCCTTAGTCTAATACAAGCTATTTCCCTCAATATTAAATATTCAACTTCCGCGAGGTTCTATCTTTAGCCTTGGCATATATGCCTCTATACTTATTATTCTTATGTAATGGTTTAAAATCCTGCTACCGAAGAAATTATCCTTTTATTTCACATTCCTTTTTAAATTTGAAACAATTGCAAAGATGTTATGTTAAAATACTTAAAACTTGTTACAAAGTTGGAAATCAATGGATAAGTTACATAATATTGCCCGTTGCTTTACAACTTTTGTAGAGAAATTTATGTAAAAAATCGTCACGTTTTTCGGTTACACACCATGTTGCTTTTTTTAAATACCAACTACAAATTGCTTGATTGATCGCAGGTTCAATCCGATATTTTATTGAATAAAATATCGGCGGCAAATCTCGCGAGAAAACCTTAAAATTTGTCGGATTACTTCAAGTAAATGCAATTAATGAAATTCTGTAATAATCTTAGTAGTAATACTGCATTATTTGAATTCATGTCTATGATAATAAAAGCCTTTTGTTAAACTTTACCTAATTTAACTTTATTTAACCAATTTCTGTAAAGTTGCAGAATATAGATCATTTTCCGAAAAATAAGGTCATAAAGAAGTTTCACTTCTTACGTGTGTACACTAGTACACGCACAATTTTTTGACATTCTTATATGTATGTTTTTGTAAGGCATTCAAGTATAAATAAATAAAAAATAATCAAGTTTTTGTATCTTTCGTATTAACCCATCCTTTAACACAGTATTTTCTTTGTTTTGTTAGTTTTTGTTCTATCACCACAATTCATCGTTTGCGTGTAAAAGAACATCCAAAAATAAGTGGATGTTATAGTATATTGAGGAAGTGAAGGTTAACGTGAAGGCAGACTTTACGTCACCATCGAATTACGCTCTCGTAGTGTTTAGTTTTGTTTTCTATGGATTACGTACTTTCGAGCAAAGCTTTTAAACTGTTTTGTAAATATTTAGACCGGATTTATAGGTGTATCTCATTGTGGAGTAGTGATTAAGTAGAACAGAATGTAGAAAATTTTATGTGACACACCTGGTAAAAAGTCAGGAATTGTTTATCATACATGTAATTTAAAGAAAACAGCTGTATAAAAATATTAGCTTCACGAGTCATCTATAAAAATAATGACAAAACTTCTCAACAAATTATATGGAGTGCTCTCATTTTACGCTACGACGTTTTTCTTAATCTGGGTCAACTGAATTTTC